GAAGCACACACCTGTAATCCCAGTTTCTTAGGAGACTGAGGCAAGAGGGTTTCAAATTCAAGGCCAATCTGTGCAACTTGGCAAGACCCTGTTTTATTTTCAAAACAGCAAGTGAAAAGGGGGATGTAGCTCAGTGGTAAAGCACCCTGGTTTCAATCCCCGGTATGGGGACCAGTTTGTACTATTATGATCTGTGCAGACTTTTGAACTGGTTGAATACAGATCTCTGCTCTCTTGCTATCCCTAATATACATGTGGGCTGAGATATCTTTGAGGATTATAGACTCAGTTTACAGTATATTTTAGGCAACACAAGCAACATTAAGATGGGAGAGTAAAATTTCTTAGCAAGGTGCTTAAGAAAATTATTACACAAGACTAATATGAATAGCAGTAGCCGTGTTTTCTCCTGTTGATAATAAGTTGAGAACATCTTTCATACTTCTTGAAGTATAATCCAAGGAATTTCCACTCTGGTGAGGTCCTGGGATTTTTGTAGCAAAGGGTTTTGCAAACTCCTTGAACTAAAAGTTGGAAATACTTTGTGAGTTCCTTGATTTTCGTGTTTTTTTTTTTTTTTGTGTGTGTGTGTGTATATACATATATATACATATATGGGGGAGTTGTTTGGGGAGGGGTATCAGGGATTGAACTCAGGAGCACTCGACCCCTGAGCTACATCCCCAGCCCTATTTTGTATTTTTATTTAGAGACAGGGTCTCACTGAGTTGCTTAGTACCTCACTTTTTTGCTGAGGCTGGCTTCAAACTCACGATCCTCCTGCCTCAGCCTCCTAAGCTGCTGGGGCCACTGCACTTGGCCCTCAGTTATATTTCTGACACACTGAGAAGCCTAATCACCTAATTTTGGGGCCTCAGTATTCCCATTCATAAAGCCAGGAYGACTCTGTTCCTCTCCACCGCATATGAGAAAATGGCATTGTGACGTGATAAGTACTTGGAGGAAGCATATATGTAAGAATGGCATTTTCTTACCCTCCATCAAATTAAAAGATTATCTATCACATGAAATGCTAGTCATTTAAATGTGGTACATAGGAAAAAATTAATAATTGTACAGAAGATTTAATAGGAACTGGGTTAAATCYAGAAATTGCTCAGCACAGCTAGGATGTATTAATGTTTTGCACATGCACAGCACTTTGTTATACTCATTTCAGGAAATACTACAGAGAAAAGATAAATGTGATTTCTCTCTTTGGGTGACTTATAAAGTCACTGAGTAGACAGAGATGTGAAATTGAGAACAAGTTAAGACTGTGTGTGATTAAATGCCAAAGTGAATGATGTAGAAAGTTCAGGCTCTTGGAGGTCAAAGGAAGAGTGAGGGAAGGCTTCATGGGCAAGGATGGGCCCGAAACCAAGGCCTTGGAGGAATGTCACACTGAGAAAGCATCAGGGAAGATATTCTGGCCACAACCTGAGGAGCGAGAAGGAGGTGGTGGTCCTGATGACCTGGAGAAAGTGGGTCTTCTTAAGAGAGGTAAATATTGTGGGTAGCATAGGCCCAGACTATGAAGAGCTTTACGTGTGGAAAAAGAGCACCTTTAACTTAACAGTGTGGGTGATGTGTTGCTAGCATAGGTTTTTGGGTCAGTGAGGGAAATGATAATGTGATATTTTAGGAGATCGAGGGTTTAAGTAAGGGTCATAAACTTGGGCAGTGTTGTCCAGTCTCACTGTTGACGAGCTTGGAGTATGAGGYTTTAGGGCACAAGGTCTGTAGAGGCAAGGGTGATGTAGAAAGAAAACAGATGTTCAAGTCCCTAGTGTGTTAGGCACTTTGCTACATCTTTCACAGCATTTTTCCCACAGAAAACTTTTGTGAATTAAACCAGAAACTTGGGCTGGGGATGTGGCTCAAGCGGTAGCGCGCTCGCCTGGCGTGTGTGAGGCCCGGGTTCGATCCTCAGCACCACATACAAACAAAGATGTTGTGTCCGCCAAAAACTAAAAAATAAATATTAAAATTCTCTCTCTCAAAATAAATAAATAAATAAATAAATAAATAAATAAACCAGAAACTCTGAACTAAGTACTGTTTCATCTTGCAGATGTAGAAACTGTAAGTTGCTAAGGTTCCACAACTAGCAGGAGAGCCAAGTGGCATTCTAGCCTGCTCCTATCTGATTAGAGTCCTTGCCTTCATCATTGTCCCTTGTGGAATTATCAGAAGCTCTGCTCTTCTGATCTCCACACTACGTAGGCTTTTCTTTTTCCTGGATTAAGTTAGGTCAAAGTCAGCATGTGTGAAACAGGGCGTGTACTCCAATGTAACCAAGAATCTTGAAATCAGAATGTCCCAAGCATTTAACATTCCCAGGAAATGGATCCACAAATCCTGAAAAGCTTCAGATTAGCCAGGCTAATTGTGTTGTTTCAATAAGCTACGATAGCCAAGAAAAGTCTTATAAAAGATCTGGAAAACAAAGCATTTTGTTTATCTTTCTTGAGAACTCTTTACAGGAAAGTAGTTTGGGTTAAGTGAGATATTGACAAGGTAGGGCTGAATAAATGATCATCTGTAACTTATGTGAGTGGAGTGAGGGAAGAATAATAGCACATGGCTGCTACCTCCTTGCTCTGGTGGAGGCTGGCCATCCACCCTCATTTCTCTCCACTCATTCCTGTTCTCCAGTGACCTTTTATCCTGAAGCCTGTTAGCAGTTTCTGAGTTGCCTGGTCACGTTTCTGTGGGTGGTGTGGAGACCGGCAGCAGGCTACAGGGTGGCGGGTGGAGCATGGTGATAGGGCAGCACTGGTGGAGGTCTCAGGTGATGGAGAAAGAAGAGATACATTACTATGAGAGAATTTGACAAACCTGTGGGCAGGTAACATTTAAAATTGATTCTCTAACTTGGAAGAGAAAAGCAAGTCAATGTGTATGAGCATCCATACGGTTTGCCAAGTTCATCAATTAAACAAGTGTTTTGAGTGGAAATGACTTATTTCTTTTTTCAGTGCTGGGGGTTGCACCCAGGGTCTCATGCATGYTAAGCACACACTCCGCCACTGAGCTATACCCCAAACCCAGAATGACGTTTTAATGTCAGTCTTTCCCTCATATGTTCATTTAAAACTCAGTCATCAGAGGATCTGATTAATCTGAARTAATAATGGTTTGGAGGAGAATTTTTTTAAAGGGCAAACATATAGTGTGGACTTTTTTTGTTTATTTACTTTTCTTGTGATATTTAGTCAAAGCCCTTTGGGAAGAGTTTTGACATTAAAAAGAGGAATTTTACTAAGTAACTTTCTTTAATGAAGCTAATATTTCTCTCCCTTCATCTTACCGTGTACAGGAAGGAAAGTGAGACTCCTGTGGTTCACATTCAGCATCAGGGTGCTATCCAACTTCCCCTCCTGTTTTCTTCAGTCCCCAGACCCAGACTCCAAAACTAAAGAATATCTCACCATTTCTCTTTCCCCAATTTGAGAAGAAATACAAACTTAATCTGCTTCCCCTATGATAAAAGAGTTCAGGACTTGGTAGCCACATCTCCTGAATCACAGGATGACTGCATCTTAGGTTTCTGTTTGCAGCAGCACCACAACTTGCTTAAGTCTTAGAAACCACCCTAGGTTGTGTATCTGTTTGGGTTCTCTGTTGTAATTAGCAGAAACCAACAACTCTTATTTACTTAAGCAGAATGGAATTTATTGGAAGAATATTAGGAACTCATAGAATTRATGTAAGGGGCAGAGCAAAGAACTAGGCCTGGAATACACGGAAAACAAAGCAACTCTGATGAGGCAAAGAACCATGAACTAACTACGTGAAGGTATTTGTACTGATTGCTGTCTGGGCAAGAATGTGGTGGTGCCCCACTCCAGGGTAGGAGCATCTCATTGACGTAGCTTGGGTCCTGTGACTGACCACAGCTTGATAAAGGGGAGGGTGAGTCCTGGATTACAGACTTACCAGGGCTTATCCAAATAAGGTCATTCTTCAGAGGGGAATCAGAATGAATTTACTGGGGAGAAGTTATGCTCCACAGCCAAAAGTAACCAGTGGTCAGCGCAGGGTGGTAGAATGGATTAAATGACAGAAGAAAGACAGCACTGGTTTTCCTTTAGGAAACGAAGGGTTAGAAAAATGTGCTCACACTCCTTGGCTGTGAGGTTTGTCTGTCAGCATGTCTGCTGCTGTTCTTAGCCTCACCCCTTCCTCCTCTCTCTCTTAGTTGGAGCCTAGCGGGGCCATCCTGTTGGGATGTGGATTTGCACACRCACAGCGTGCTACATGTGCATGCCAGGAGGTGCTGGTGGCAAAGCAGTTCCTCTTTGATCAGTTTAAGGAGATTAGATGTGGTTAAGGCCCTGTTCCTTGCCTGCTTCGTGTCACCCCATGGCAGTTGTTCTAGAGAATTTCATATTTTAAACATGTTTATCAGTAGCCCAACTTTGACCTTTTATACTCACCTGGATAAATAATTCAGGCTTCAGTCTGATTTTAGTTGTTTGTTAGATGATTGATATATATAGCATACATAGTTACTAAATAAATTTTACTTAATGAATAAAGCTATCACTTTAAGAGAATATTAAGGTACCCTAACTAACCTTGTTATTGGAAAATGGCAATAGAATTCTATACTTCAGTCTGATTTTCACTACTTAAAAGGAGAATGCAGTCTCAAAAAGAAATGARTTTTTTAATATATTGGACTGTAGGAGGGCACATACCTTGAGCTTCTCTATGAAAATTTAACAGTTACAATATACCTCCTGGTTGATAGGAAAAAAACATGATTAAATAAAAAGCATGACTAACTTTTTATCTAATTAATTTTAAATGATTTAGTGTCACTCCTGTTTGAGTCCCTATCAAACCCTAAATTTCTGTAGCTTCAATAATTAGTTGTTGCTAAACAACTTCAAAATTGGAAGTTAGTCTAATGCTAAAGAAAAACACTCTGGGCATTTTGAGTGTCGCTTGGAAGAGATATAAAAAGCTGACCTACTGTGTTTCTCTTTCAGCATCCAGTGCTCGATGAGCCAATAGCTGAAGCTGTCTGTATCATCGCAGACACAGACAAGTGGAGTGTCCAGGTGGCCACAAGTCAGAGGAAAGTGATGGATAACATGAAGCTGGGCCAGGATGTCTTGGTCTCTAGTCAGGTGTCCAGTTTACTTCAGTCTATCTTACAGCTTTACAAGCTTCACCTCCCTGCTGATTTTGTAAGTATGTGATCTCATATCATCAGAGAAAGTTAGCTAAAAATACTTTCAGCCACATTTTGATTATGAAAGCAGAAATCTGGATATTGTTTTTAATAAAATCGGAGGTTAGCATGAATTAAAATGAGACATGCAACATAAAACCAGCAAACAGGATGGATTTCAGTAACTCTAGCCCTTCCATAAAACAACAGAGAGTGGATCGACATCTTTTTAATAAGGTGTATGGCAAAGTAAAGAAGGTATTAGGGAGGGATCCAGCATAAAAGAAATCTGAAATCCTTCTTGGAGAACTCATTGCTAAGCAGCCATCCTCACAGAAGTATTAAGGGTGAAGTAGACCACGGTTTGTGGAAACACTTAAATTTTGAAGTACTATATACATGTAAGATGGTATCAGTTGTTCCTTTTCAAATGGGACTTGAAGATCACTTTCATAACATTATTTTAAATATGAACAACAAAGCCTAAGAATTCCTCATGAATTGTCAGCAGTTCACCCCTAGTGACTGGAATTAGTATTTACCTTTCAGTGCATGTGTGCGCTTGATATATGTAGAGATTAGAAGAGGAAATATATWTAGTAAGGGAGGGAGAAATGTTTCAGAAGGAGGAAAGAAGCTGAAGGGCATCTAAGAAAAGTCTGGGTGAGCTGTCCTCGGGAAGACGCTTCACTGGAGCAGTGTGCTTACTCTGCTCTTTCCTTCCTTCTGTGCAGGCTGCTCTCTGCWGCATAGTTCGGAACCAAAACCTCTGTCTCCTTTCTGGCCTTGAGAAATGATTCACAGCTATGTAACAACAATGTAGGAAAATGAATATTCATTAAATATACTATTTGCCAATGAATTGATCACTTTCCTGGATTTAAAGTCAAATGTGTGGTACCATAGTCCTCAGAAATGGTCAGGATTTTTAATGGCTTTGAAGAGGTGTTCTGAAATAATGATTGTCATCAAAACTGGCAGCATGGCATGGCAAAAAGACATAACTGGATTAAGGTCTCAGCTTTGCTATTGATTACACAATCCTGAGTGTCTCTGAATCTCAGCTTTCTCATTTGTAAAATGGAGAGACTACAACTGTGCTGAGAGAATCTTCTGAAAATTAGGGATAGGATAATGCTTTCAAAACACCAGGTTAAAAGCCAGCATGTAGGGGCTGGGGTTGTGGCCTAGTGGCAGAGCACTTGCCTAGCATATGTGAGGCACTGGGTTCAATATCCTCAGCACCACATATAAATAAATAAAAAATAAAAGTACATTCAACAGCGGAAAAATAAAATTTTTAAAAAGCCAGCATGCCTACATTAGTGGCCAGTGGCCAGTGCCCAGGCTAGAGTCAAATTCAAGTTCTACTACTTACTTTGTGACCTCTCAAAGCCTCAGTTTCCTTATCTGCAAATCTAGAGAAATAATAGAACCTATCTCATGTTTATGTAAATCAGACAATTCATGTAAAGCATTTGGAATAGAGTTAAATGTTATAAACCCTCACTGAATCGATATTATTGGCTTATCAATTAATAATTAGTTTTCTGGAACAGTATTAATTAACTTCATGGAACAGTAACAACTGACAATATATTTTTACTAAAATCTTTATTTGGGATTTAAATTAAAGCGTACTCTTGAGGATGTCTGTCTTAGGGTAATATGAGAAGCATTTATGGGTTATTATGACCTTACTTTCTGTTCTACATTTGTAGGCAGGTTTTCTTCTACAAGCAGGTTGGGTTGTGCTGACTTAGAGGATGATGTCTCCATTTTTATGGGCAAAGAGGACATATTAGAATTCAAGTTTTTACTCTTATAAGTATTTGCCAAACATCTGTAATACATAGTTCTTGTTGCATACAACATTTTGCTTAATCAAGCAACACATTATTATAGCTGATTTTTTTACTTCATTTGGATAGAATATTTAAACTTGTAATAATAAGAATGATTTATTTAACCTGATAAACCAATGTCAAAGAAAATTTCATCTGTAGTTTAAAATTCTCTATATATTGTTTCAATGAAACATAAATGACTAGGCCCTTTAGTACCAAAGGATAAAATAGCTATTTAAAATTTTAGAAGTTTGAAATTCAAGAAATACATCTCCAAAGTAAAATCCCATAAAAGAGGAGGAATTTTTTAAAACCATCATAAGTTAAGTCTTTTTGAAAAACTTTCTAAATGTTTTGATTTCATTTGATTTCATAAAGAGTTCTCTTTATTTCCACGTTGCATCATATACTTTTCATGCAGTCTGTGAAAACATTGTAAATTAGCTGTTTTAAAACAAAGGATGTTTATCAGACCCAGTGTACCTGCCTAGAATCCCAGCTACATGGGGAGATGGAAGTAGGAGGATCACAAGTTGTACGCCAGCCTCAGCAACTTAGACCCTGTCTCAAAAAATAAAAGGGGCTGAGGATGTGGCTCAGTGGTAGAGAATCCCTGGGTTCAGTCTCCAGCACACACACCACATAGCACACACGAATACACAAAAAACCAAAGATTTAATATAATATGAATGGTCTTTTTTATATTTTGGGACAGTCTTACAGAAACCTTTGTATTTCCACTCCCCAAGTTAACTGGAGACCACTTCACTCTGTTCACTGGGGGAAACATTTCCATGAGAACTGATGGAATCTCCCTGCTTTGATATCACTTAGCCACTTAGCAGTGTGTTTCATCTACCATACACAATGCATTTAAGGTTGTGAGCCAATGAGAGGCTGACAAGATCGAATCTCTAACAGATACTTTTTCCATGCCACTGATCAGCCCAGATGGTCAAGATCAGCATTTTCAAATGCATCTGTTAATCTTTTTACCTTGAAAATAACAGACCTTATGGTCTAGAAGAAAAGTATGTGTGATGGAATTGCCCTTGCCAGAGCCATCAGGTGTCTCACTGAAGGTGCTGGGGTGGCCATGCCTGCCAAGTACAAAAGTACTTGCCTCTGGTGAAAGACACAGATGGTTGGTATTCTCTAAAAACTGAAGCTGGACACAGTTCCAAGGGTAAAGATGTCCTGGAAATAATTGCCTTTTCTTATTTGTCATTAAGAAGACCTAGTTAAAGACACTCTCAAAAGCAAAATACAAAGTTTGAAATGACCTTGTTCCAGTTGTTCTACTTCTGAGAATGTATTGGGCCCAAGTAATCTGAAACACAGGAAGAAAACATTAGTGAAGATGTTCTTCACAAAAATGCCTTACAAGAAAAATACAAATTGCTGTGTGGTTCAGTAACTAATGGCAAATTCACATTCTAAGGAATTATTTAGCCATAAAAAATTACAACAATAAGGAATTCTTAATATTTTATTAGGAAGTTATTTAAACTAAGGARATTCTAGTACTTATAGAATATCGATCAACTATGTGGAAATGCTTTTTTGAAGAAAAAAAACCACTAGAATAATATATGAAAATCTTGTCATTTAACAAAAACCTGTTTATATACCTATTAGTTATGGGGCTTGTAGTTTTTTTTTAAAGTATATTTGAAAAGGTGTGAGATTACAGCTGTACACTTGAGTTCCAGCCCTCATTGTGAATGCTGTTGACTCCACAGTGCATCATGCATCTTGAGGACAGACTGCAGGAGATGTACCTTAAAAGCAAAATGCTGTCTGAGTATCTTCGGGGACATACCCGAGTCCACGTGAAGGAATTAGGTGTTGTGCTGGGGTGAGTCCTGTGAAGTACTACTATGTCTTCTCCCTGTGATGGCTGGCCTTTGCCCTCATGTTTTTTTCCTCTGACCTGTTCAACCTGCACCACCCAAAGCCAGGCCCAGATTCCCTCAGACGTGTGCCTGTCAGCTCCTTGATGAACAGCATGTTGTTTGTATCTTGATACCCGGTTTCACACCTGGAAACCATCATGGAACTTTGGGCTGGTGGTACTTTTATGTCAGTCTCCTCCCTGGTTATTTTACCCTTGAAAGAGAACATTTAATACCATTCTGTCCATTTCTGGTCAGTCAGTCAGTAAGATGCCAAAGTCAAAACTGTCAGATGTGCAGTGGCAGCTCTGGTGTATGTCTCACTTTCTGGAGGAGGAGTTGCAGGCACCTCCCACTGGACAACAAGGAGAGAGAGCCCTTCTCCTGGGCTCTCAGGTGCTGCCTACATGTCCCCAGCAACTGTCCTTTCTGCCTTTCATTGTGAGCCCACTGAAAAGGAGACTTGCTTATGTTAGTTACTAATAACACATGTCATCTTCCGAGGGCATTTACCATAATTTCTCTAGGAGACATTCTGACTTGAGTTATTCTGCTTAATGTGTCAACAGAGAACTAAAAGGGCATTGTGTCTTTGGGAAACTGTCTTCTTTATCCGTGGTGATGATTCCCTATATTGGAGTAAGAAAATACTGTGTTTATAATACCACCCTTTAAATTCTCTTTTAAGCCTGTAAGCAAAGTATTATTTTAAAACTCTGGCCTTTGCATTCTTGTCAGACTTTTCATCTTTCACACCCAGGATGTGACTGGCTGTTTTATTTGGCATTTTCTGTCACACATTTTTCTTACATACCTCATTTAAAAATATTTTCCCCTTTTGAGATGGCCACTCTTGCAGCTACTTCACAATCTCTCTCTCTGTTTTCTTTCCCATAGTTTTGGTTTATGGCTCCTTACCAGACTCATATTGTAGTCTGCTTCATAAGGTTTCCTATTGCTAGGCGTAGTCCCTAATTTCTAGGACTTTCCCCTGGTTCCTGACACTGACAGTCATCCATCAACACTGAAGAACTGCAAGAATGTTTTCCTCTCAGCATTCCTCTCTAGGTCTTGTCGTGTTCATCCTCTCTCTTTATATCCCCTTCTTCCATGGCCAGGACACTAGCAGCACCTCCAATTCTAGAAAACACATGGTCCACCTGAATGAGATTTGTAGGTAGCTTTACTGGAGAAGGAATAGAAAACTCCACAAAGTAATGTCAGCTCCTGTTTTTGTATTTGTAATTTGTGGAATTCGAGGGAAAGAACTAGGACTGGTTCCACAGGCTGAAACAGGCCAGCTTTTTTTTTTTCTCCTCCACAACTGGTAGCATTTAGCCAGTGACGGTTCTGTGTCCGCCTCTCCTTTGAGAGGCAACCAGAACTGTGTCTGCCTGAAACTCATGCTTCTTACTAGTGTCACTTTGCTCTCAGAGCACTGTGTCTCAGGAGTTCAGAGGGGATCTAAGTTGTATGACTTCTTGAACAGAGATCACCAGGGTTTCTGAAGACATTAACTGCCATCATCATTTAACTAAGACTAACTTGAACCTAGGTGCCAAATCAGTAGGCCTTGGGAAATGAGGAGACTGTGGGGGAATGGTGTCACATAGGCCACCCAGAACAGGGAGAGACTTGAAGTAAATGGAGTTGGTGACCCTGCTGCAGGAGGATTGGCCTTATGTCCCACATTCAGGCAGCACAGCTCCAGCACCTCCTTCTCATTGTCCCACCTCGCTGGGTGCCCTGGGAGAGCTTATGATCTTTTCATCTGTTTYACTTTTTCATTTGTTTTCAGTGATAATCTAGCAAGCTTGAACCCTAGAAATAAAACCTTAAGTACCCTTCCTTTCTGTTTTTAACACCCAGGATTGAATCTAACGACCTGCCGCTGCTGACTGCTGTTGCCAGTACTCATTCTCCTTACGTGGCTCAAATACTCCTATAAGCTGAAGCTCAGGACAGTTCTTCCTTGGAATAAGAAAAACAAATTCTCAACTGAAGAAGAGAGGAATAAGCTCTCTGGGACATCCAAAGCATGAGAAGAGCAAACAAATAGTCATTCCACCGTTTGTTTTGCATTGTTACTTTTGAGTGGATGCTTCATTGGAAGAGAAGACAGGTTTACTCTAAATACTGGCATTTGTGATTTTCAGGAACACTTTAGGCCTTTGTTACCCATGAATCAATCAGGGGAGAGAGTGGCCTTTCTGGTGGGGGAAAACGTAAGCACTACACTGAACACTCAGCATTTGGTACTGATTGCCTTGTGCTGTCGGGCAGAATAATGATGGGTGACTTTGGAACAGGGAGGTAACCAGTGTATGTAACATTCCAGTAGGAAATGTTTCAGAGTTTAAGTCTAAGCACTGCAAGCTGTAGAGAGCAGAGTACACTAGGCTAAAGTCAGAACAAGGACTTTGAATTCCAGGTCAGAGTTTGCTTTTTAGAAAAGAAAAGTGAAATRAAGAAAGCCATCTTTGGCTGTAGCAGCTGTTTGCCATAAGATGTGAAAGAAAACTGCCTATTGGGAAGAGAGAGAGTGCTTTGGGGACCCTCTGTTCTCATTTCTCCTCAGAGTTTACCTTGTTTCAGATGCAGCCACAGGTAGGTTAGAGATGGATTGCTGGTGCAATACACCCAAGAGTCAATGTAGCATCCTGATCCCATCAAGATGTAGTTTGTAGCAGCAAAGCATAGTCTGACGCCATATGTTTTATCATTATGATTGAGAGTTCTCAGCAGCCTTTTCAAGAGAGGCCATTTACCAAAGTTATTTCTATAAGCTCAAGAGTGTTTCTGTGGGTGAATTCTTCCAGCCAGAGCCACTTTCTTCCTAGAATAGTTTATACAAATGACTATTTATACTTTTAAAGACACTGCTTTCCCCATGAGAAATGAAACCTGCAATAATTCAGGATGGTCAGTGAAAGCAATTAGTTTGAACATTAAGAAAAAGGTTCATACATGGCCTAAATTTTTACATTATCATCTCTGCACCTCTTAATCCCTATGTCTTTTCAAAACATCTTCCCAGAAATTGACTTGACCATTTTATAAAACCTACCAAAGTAAAGAATTAGTAGTCCAATTCACTTAAAAACAACTTCAATTGTCTGTTAATATTAAAGAAACTTAGTTTACTGACCATGAAACAGTCTAAGTCCCGACATCCAGGATAAAGTAAAACACTTCAAAAATTTWAAAAATGATGGTCAAAAGACAGGAGCTAATGTAATAAGGCAAAACATTGTTAGCATTTTAGCCCTTTCTGTGAATCTTCTGTTCCTAAGAATATGAGGTTTCCTCTTTTTTATGGGTTGGAATTAATTCACATTTTATGTTTGATAAAATCCTGACCCTATCCATAAGTTCGTCTCTCATTATTGTCTAATTATTTGAGAGCRTCTACAGCTGTACCAATGGAGGTGAATGGCTGTACTGTTTGTTTATTAGGAATAGGTCAGAACTGCTACCTTCCTCTTTCTCCTTTGTGCTGTGAAAGTAGATGGGTGCTTCAAGGTTCTGGAGATCTTTAATTTGCATTTTATGTCTTGGTTTCGCAAAATTGAAGTTTTCCATTTCCTTTTGCCTAACATTGGAGTTTGGTGTTTTCAATTCTCTGGTTCCGTGACATCATTGTTTGCTGTTTCGTTACGAAAGGAAAATGAACCCCACCTATAGCTCAGCCCACTCGCACTTGATTTTCCTTGCATGTGAATAAATTGTCAAAGCTGTCATTACAGCTCTTCCGTCTGCACCAGCTTAAAGCATTCCCCTCTGGTTCCCTTCTCCTTGTTTACATGTTGTGGGCACCTTGCCTCAGTCACCACCTTCCAGGGTTTCATAGAAAATAACCTGATTCAAAATCAGTTCAGTTCTGATGTGGGCATTGTGGCGTGCTGAAAATCAGATCCTTACGGGGAAAATTGAGCTTTAAGTGACTGATTCTCAATCCCATACATAAAAAATTTAACCCAGCTCCTCAATGCCTGCGAAAATTTAATTTGCCTCTTGATCTAATATTCCAAAACTCACTCTTAGGAAAACACCTATTGGGAAGCTACAAGTGGGTCACAGGTCGGGGTCGTCTCGGTGACACTCAGGATTCCTGTCAGAGCTGAATCCTCATATCTATCGCCTACAAAAACACACCAAGAATGTTGCTGCTCTTTTTTTAAAGCCTCCTTTAATATTTAACATGCAAGTCTTTGTCTTAAATTCAACCTCTTCCTAGAAGCAAAAAAGGAAAAAAATCTCATGGGATTGTGTTGAAAGACAACCGCTCGCACATCACAGACCACCCCGTGACTTCATTCTGTCTCAGCTGAACAGTTGGAGGGATCCCACCTGCTCCCATGCCCACCTCAAGAAAAAAATAAAAATTAAAAAAAATAAAGAAATCTACCTCAGTTGACAGGATTCCAACTTTAGGGTTTCTTCAACTTTTAAGTCTTACCTGTTGAGTGTAACTTTTGTGGCATCTTGCTTTCTCAAGCAAGCTAGTGAGGCATGACAGAGCAGAAGTATGTGAATGTTACTGTGATGGACCTCTTTCTAGCATGTTGCAGTTTTATTTTTAATAAATTGATAAGTGATATGAATGTAAAGGTAATTGTGTATGTTTTAAACATGACAATGAAAATTTGAAATGTAGCTTCCATACTTGTGCATAATTCCAAAGTATTTTATTTTTATCAGTGTTAAATAGCTTTTTGTACAGGCTTCAAATCCATTTTCTGAAGTGTGCTGTTTTTTAATGAAAGTAACTATAATCTTTTCACATCCCATGGAACTGCCGTTTACACATTGCAACTTTTTAAACTGACCATATTTTTCAAAATTAACTTTTTTGGAGGGAGGAAATTTCCCCCTTGCTAAATGATACTAAACTGTTGTTTGGGCTCTTATAATTAGGTCCTCAGATTTTATAAAAATTTAGTCTGTAGCTTTTTAGGTTCTTCACTAGAGTTGGTTGTATATAAAGAATATAAAGTGACCCCAAAATTCTTTTAAATGTCTGGATTTTTCCACTAATATGTACTTTGGGGAGCATTTCATTCTTGCATACTTTCACCATTAAATTGAAAAAAAAAGTCTTTAGCTTTTCTTAGTTAATGTGAACAATTTGTTTTGTTTTGTTTAATTCTGCTTGGGGGGATATTTTATTATAATTTCTGCCTAAATCAAACATCCCCTCTGATTGTTAACTTTTAAATGTCAGAATTTGGTGAACCATATATCTAGGAAGTGAGATTGCAATATGCTTAAATTTGAGGCAGATAAGGAGAAAATTCTGGGAATTCTTATTGAAAGTCCATTAAGAGAAATTGATAGGACTTTATAATTTTGATGAGCTGAATAGATACCAATGTCAACGTGTGGAAATTTTTTCTTAAAACTTGTTCATGTATTATTTTGATCAATTTTTCTGTGGCATTTGGTGCAATAAACCTTTTGAATTTATCTTGAACTTTTCCTGGCGCTGCATGTGATTTGTTGAATTTAATTAAATCTAGAGTCTCATTTATAAGAAACAAGTTCATTATATGTATCAATGATTTTCCACAGGTGTGTTTTGGAAATGGGACATTTTTGATTGGCAGACTGACAGGTGAGGGCTACTGTACRGCATGTAGGAGTGGGGGGCAAGGTGACCCGTGAAATGTCCTGCAACATGTGAGATAGCCCCAGGACCAGCAGACCTTCAAATGCCCTGCTGGATATTCATGTGGGTGAAAACCCTCTTAAAAATTATCTTACCTGAGAATTGAGTTCTGCTTTACATAAAAGCACAATGTGTTTTGTACATGATTTGGGTATATACTGAATTTTCCAGGGATGCAACTGTTGTATACATGAAGGGAAGGGTTTACTCTGTAAAGATTTTAACAAGAATTGTTCACTAGGTCTTTACAAAGAATTGAGTACTTGTGGAAAACCACGTTACCAACWGCCACAGCACTCATAGAACTCAAGTCAGCAGTGCAGTACATCTCCACAGTTCTCATTTATAGCTGTGACATCCATAAAGATTCTTTGTACAGATGTAAGCATCTGTCCACCTCATTGTATTTTCTCTTTGTGTATGTGTGTGCACACAAACGTGCAAGTGCTCTACTATTGAGCTACATGCCCAGCCTGCTTCATCATATTGTCTACTCTGATGGTGTTGCTTGCACCCACGACTGTGGAATAAAAGCTAAAAAAGAGAGAAAATTCGAAGAAACCACAGGACACAAGAAGTAATTTTAGAAAGCAGGGGTAGGATGGTTCTCTGATCTTAGGAATCRAACTTCCACACTGGAAAGAGAGGGAGRGTCCTCACTTGCTTTACTTATAAGGGGGCAACATCAAAGCTTTTCCATGGAATGTCCTTTATCAAATAAGATAGGGGGTGGGCTGTCTATTTCCTGATGGGTTGAGCTAGGAGACCTGTCCCACTAGTAGAGCAAGGGCAGCGATCTCATGCCTTGGGCAGTCTACACACGGGAATGCTGGGATAGTTCCCAAGAGAAGACCCAAGTACCACATGCTCGGTACCAAGTAAAAGACCACTCAGGCAGCTTTACATGGAAAGCTTTATATATGTTTTATATATAAAACATCCCCATTTTCATCCAGTTCTATAATGGATGAAAACATGGGATACTCTGTAGAGGTTTATGCTTTTAAATTTCCCCCMCAGGCCCTCCAAAGACCACAGCGGTGCATCAGAATATACTATAAAATGTTACTTCTTAAACAGTACATCCAGGGGATTACAATCTAGGGGAYGCATTTGTGTGTTATAAATTGTTAACTTATATTTTCTGAATTTTATTTTGGGATAATAAAGGAGTATTAAAAAATATTTACTAAGAAWAGGGATGAGTTACTTTGCTAATATATTATCTCAAGAAGAAATATGCCATTGAATGTAACTTCTGTACCAAAGAATGGCATACTTTGTTAGGTTATCTTAAAGATTCTAGGGAGAAGTTATATTAGGTATTTCAAAATCCTTTTTGGTTGAAAATTTCAAGTGTTTTCCATKTTCCCTGAAGCAGTTTTTTAAAAGTGTGCCATCAATAAAGGTCTTAAATATACATGTACGCCTTCAGCACATTTTGGTTCCCTGGTGCCTGGATTCTTTCATTTAATCCTMTCAACTGGGTGAGAATGACASTGTGATGGTGGATTTTATGTGTCAGCTGGGCTTGACCACAATACTCAGTCTTTGGTCAAAGGCTAGTCTGGATGCTACTAGGAAGATATTTTTTAAGATAAAAATATTTAAATCAGTCAACTTTGAATAAACAGATTACCCTCTATAAAGTGGGTGGGCTTCACCCATTCACTTGAAGGACTTAGGAGAGAAAAAATAGATGCTCTAAAAAAGAGGTAATTCTGCCCCAAGACAGCCTTCATCCAAATTGCAATATCACCACTTCCCTGTGTCTCCAGCCTGCTGGCCTTCCCTGCAAATTTTGGATTTGTTAAATTAAACCAGTTCCTTATAAAACACCTCTCTCCTTCACTCTCCAAACACATACACACATGCATCTCATTGGTTCTCTGGAGATCTCTGACTGATAAAGTTATAGAAGAGATCAGTCCAGTAACACTTAGAATGATCCAATATAGGAGAGTTGGGTAGGATCAGAATAGTCATTCCAAGTTATAAGAAGTAGACTTTCAAGCAAAGAGTTTTCATATAGTAAATAGTACTGTTATCCTTTTCACAAGTCACACAGTCTGAATATGTGCTGCAGAGAAGAGTTGGAAAACAAAGGAAACAACCCTTTAGTTGAAGTTTTGGCTTGTCTTTTTCATCCTTGTGAACAAAAGACCTGACAAGAACAGCATAGAGGAGGAAAACTTTATTTTGGCTCATGGTTTCAGAGGTTCAGTGCAYAGATGGCCAACTCCATAGCTCTGGGCCCGAGGTGAGGCAGAACATCATGGCAGAAGTTATGTGGCAGCAGGAAACAGCACATGACATGACAACCAGGAAGCAGGGAAAGCTTTGCTCACCAGAGAGAAAATATAARCCCCAAATACACCCCCAGTGACGTACTTCCTCCTGCTCACCTATAGTTACCATCCACTCTACCCATAGTTACCACCCGGTTAATCCATATCAGTGGATTAATCCATTGATCAGTTAAAACTATCATAATCCAATCAATGCGCCTCTGAATATTCTTGCATTGTCTCATATGAGCTTTTGTGTGAGACATCTAAACCATAACAGATGGAAAGGAAGGAGGTAACATCATTAAAARTGGAAGAAAAAAGTTCCCTTCCTATAAAGATTCATCCCTACAGTTGTGTGTGAATTCCTATAGTTGTGCATCTTCCTCTGTGTTTTGGGAACTTGGAACTCAGTTATCTCATTCTCTCTYATCTTTAGTTCTCATTCTGCTGACTTTTTCTACTGAAAGAGTTTAAAAAAAAAAAAAAGTTTCACCTATAATAAACCCTAGTTTCTCTCCTTTGATAACTAGGGATTTTCTAGAGAGGTCTACTTGACCGACCTTCACTTCTTTTCCTCCCATTCATTCTCTGCTCTCTGCCACTCTCACTGGGGGCTGAGGACCCAACATCCACCTCCTTCCTTCCCATGGTAGATGAGTTTTCCAAGGCCCAGTGAGCACAGAGTGCAGCTGAACTGACTTTACATCTCAAATGTACCACCTTTCTGCTTCTCTGTTCCTAGCTCAAAATTCAGTTTGTTGTCAGATTCTCTGGTACCTTGCCACTCAAGATCCCTGGACCAACATCAACTAGCTGCGGAAGCTTTTTTTTTTTTTTTTTTTTTTTGGCACTAGAGATTGAACCCAGGGGCACTTAACCACTGAGCCCAGCCCAGCCTATCTAACTATCTATCTATTTATTTATTTATTTAGACACAGGGTTTCACTAAATTGCTTAGGGCCTTGCTAAATTGCTATGGCTAGTTTTGAATTTAACAATCATCCTGCCTCAGCCTCCCAAACTGCTAGGATTACAGGCATGTGCCATCACGCCCAGTGAGATTACTATTAAGCTCACACTGAGTGARTGAGTGGAGGAAGAATGTATCAATCATTGATATTCATGTCCATATTTTGCAATGGAGGTGGAGGGGAGTAAGAATATTTGCAAGCAAGGAAATAAAATAGAAGTGGATGTTTTTAAAAGTATCATATGCCCATAAATCCTGCATTTAGATAGCTATTACTAATTTGGAGAAAGAAGTTAACAAA